AGAATAGAGGGGGAGGAGAACCTCTCTTGACCTACTAACCACACCCTTTCTAATGCACCCCAGGATGCCATTGGCCTTCTTGGCCACAAGGGCACATTGCTGGCTCATGGTCATCCTCCTGTCTACCAGGACCCCCAGGTCTCTTTCACCTACACTACTCTCCAGCAGTTCAGCCCCCAACCTGTACTGGGACATGGTGTTGTTCTTCCCCAAATGTAAAACTCTGCACTTCCCCTTGTTGAATTTCATCATGTTTCTCCCCGCCCAACTCTCCAACCTATCTAAGTCTCTCTGAATGGCAGCACAGCCTTCTGGTGTGTCAGCCACTCCTCCCAGCTTAGTGTCATCAGCAAACTTGCTGAGGGTACATTCTATACCCTCATCCAGGTCGTTGATGAAGATGTTGAACAACACCGGTCCCAGTACCGACCCCTGTGGGACTCCACTAGTCACACACCTCCAACCAGATTCTGCCCCATTGACTACAACTCTCTGACTCCTTCCTTTCAACCAGTTCCTAATCCACCTCACTTCCTGATCACCAAACCCATACCTGATCAACTTTTCTACAAGGATGCTGTGGGAGACGGTGTCAAATGCTTTACTGAAATCAAGATAAACCACATCTACCGCTCTACCATCATCTATCCACCTAGTAATTTCCTCATAGAAGGCTATGAGGTTAGTCAAACATGATTTACCCTTGATAAAACCATGTTGACTGCTCTTGATGACCCCCATGTCCTTGATGTGCCTGGAGATAGTGACAAGAACAAGTTGTTCCATCACCTTTCCAGGGATGGAGGTGAGGCTGACCGGTCTATAGTTACCCGGGTCCTCCTTCTTGCCCTTCTTGTAGACTGGAGTGACATTTGCTATCCTCCAGTCCTCAGGCACCTCACCTGTTGCCCATGATTTACTGAAGATGATGGAGAGTGGCCTAGCAATGACCTCCGCCAGCTCCCTCAGCACCCTTGGGTGCATTCCATCTGGACCCATTGATTTATGGATGTCCAGATTACTCAACTGATCCCTAACCCAATCCTCATCTACCATGTCAAACTCTTCCTCTATCTTGACTTCTTCTGGGGCTATATGAATCTGGGGCTCATAGGGAGACCCTGCAGGAGTGAAGACAGAGGCAAAGAAGGCATTCAGCACCTCTGCCTTCTTTATATCCTCTGTCACCAGGGCTCCCACCTCATTCCTCAATGGGCCAATATTGCCTCTAGTGCTAGTTTTGCTAGCTATGTATTTGAAAAAGCCCTTTCTATTATCCTTAACCTGACTTGCAAGGTTAAGTTCCAAGGAGGCCTTAGCTTTCCTAATTGCCTCCCTACATCCTCTGACAACAGTCCTATATTCCTCCCACGTGACCAGCCCCTCCTTCCATGATCTGTAGATTTTCCTTTTCCACTTAAGTTTGCCCAGTAGTTCCTTCTTTAACCATGCAGGTCTCCTAGCACCCTTACTAGATTTCCTAACCATTGGGACGCTCTGATCCTGTGCTTGCAAGAAGTGGTCCTTGAATGTTGACCAGCTATCTTGAGCTCCTTTATCTTCTAGCACCCTGTCCCATGGGATTTCCCTTAATAGATGATTGAGGAGACCAAAGTTTGCCCTGTGGAAGTCCAGGGTTCTGGTCCTGCTGGGTATTTTGTTCCTTCCACACAGGATCCTGAACTCCACCATCTCATGATCACTGCAGCCAAGGCTGCCATTGACCACCACTGCTTCAACAAGGCCCTCCTTGCTGGTTAGTACAAGATCAGCAGCGCTCCTCTTCTAGTCGGCTTGTCCACCATTTGCATTAAGAAGTTAGCATCAATGCACTGGAGGAACCTCCTAGACTGTGAAAGGCTGGCTGTGTGAGTCTTCCAGCAGATATCAGGGTAGTTGAAATCTCCCATGAGGACCAGGGACTGTAGTTGTGAGGCTGCTTTCAGTTGCCTGTAGAAAGCCTCATCAACCTCCTCACCTTGATCAGGAGGCCTGTAGTAGACCCCCACAACTGTGTCACCCGCACCTGCTTGCCCCTTAATTCTTACCCACAGACTTTCAGAGAATTTTATAAAGCAAATATGAAAGCAGAGCCTGACTACTGGGTAAGTGTAGTAAATGTCATGTATGCTATGGTAGCACACATAGCAGGATCACCTGCACAAGCTGGACTTGCAGTCTGGGGGTAGCAGCTGTAGCAGTAAGGCCTGCTAATGGAGTTCTGGCTGGCTGTAGGTGGTGTAATGCTGAAAAGAGCTGTCACCTCCTGCAGGGCATGTGCCTGTGAAGGGGCTGAGCTGGATTTATAAATCTATGACCTTTTCATTACTTGTTATCCTTTTTACACAGTTAATACAATTACTTTTGCCTGTCATCGTGCTTTGCCTTTACTATCTTAAGGGGTAAGCGTTTTAAAGGAATGTGAAACCTCAGACTTTGGGGTTAGTCTTGATTCTCACAGAAGTTTAAGGAAGCAAAAAGGCAGACCAAGCCTTAGGAACATATCCCAGTACTTAAATATGTGTGAGAGGGTGTTGGCAGAGAAGTGACAGAGGTTACTGAAATACATTCAGAGAGAGAAGGATGTTTAAATCTGAATACATTAAATACAAAAAGTATTTGCAGTCAGTGCAAATGGAAAACAGTTGAACAGTCTGGGATTGAGTTTTGTGCTAATCTAGTTTTTTGGTTGCAGTAGTGTTAATAAGCTAATTTGTTCCTGTCATCTAAACAACAAGAACAAAAACTTGAATGGGGAAAAATGTAGCGAATATATTCAGGATATTTGGAGTTTAAATCTTGACCCTGTCTCCTGGATACTTGGTTCAGAGCATCCTGCTGTCTATCTTGGATGGTAAGGTGCCTGTTTGACTGAGGAAAGAGAGAGCAGGGTTAATGAGATCTTTTTGGTAATTCTGTTCTCCTAGAATGATACCTTGAATTTCAACACACTGCTTTAAGCATGACCTGCTGTGCATGCATTGCAGGTATCTTGAAGTGCTTTCAGAAAAAAAATTGTTATGCATTGGGCTATTTTTGATTTCTGGTTGAGCTCAAGGTGTGACTGTGTTGGATCAGCTTTAGATGGCAAAGAGGAGAAGCACAGAAGTGTGGAACAATGGCCACTGGCTGTCACGTTGCATCAGATGTGCACTCCTTGGTGTGCCCTCAGCAAGTTCTTTAGCTGTAGCCTAAAAGGAGCCCAGAACAGAGATTTAAGTTTATATAAACACTTTCGTACAGCTTACTAAATCTTAACTGCTGTGACATTTCATACCAATGTGACAACTTCTCTTGTCTGAACTGAGCCACAGCCCCTCTTCCTTGTTCATGTTTTTTTAAATAAAAATTGCCAAGTTGTTTGCTCCAATAACCTGTGTAACAGATTTCTGGTTAGATATATTAGATGCAAATGGCATCCATTTCACATGCATGTTTGGCCACAAACAAGAAATGTTGAGGTCATCTCCCTAAGGAATATTCTAGTATTAGTATTTTGTGGGCTTTTTTTTGTTAATAAACATCTGGGTTTTGTAGGTAAAACTTTGCTGTACAACGATCTGCTGTCTGAGGTGTATGACCTTTTAAATGGTGCCTTTTAATCATATTCTGATATCTCTTCAGACTGTATAAATTTTTTTTTCATTATTTCATAAAGTGGAACATTTGAGTTTCACTGATTTTTTTTTTTTTTTTAATTTTTTTCCCCCCCCCCTGTGGCTTCATCCTAATGCAGGGACAGATGGCTTGAACAGCATGGTGGTATGCTTTGTTGTGGTATGTGGCTCTGAAAAATCAGTGCCAGCTGCCATCAAGAAGTTCTGCAGTTGAGCATCCCAGGCAGCAGTGTGCTGTGGGTATCTGAAGTGTCTTGAATCTGGTCTGGTGTCTTGAAAAGGCCTCTTAGAGATTATGATCTGGGCTGCAGCTGTCAAACTGAGGTTGTCCAGTGGAAGGCACTGCCTGCCTTGGCTGTGGTCTGCCTCATGGGTTTGCAGTTTAAAGCCTTTCACAGGCTTCACGTGTATCTTGGCTGCAGGAAACAGGCCTGAAAATCCATGGTTCCCCGAGTTCCTTTGTCTAGACTGGTGTCAGCAGGTATCAGTGCAGGCAATGAGGCATAGGCTTCTGCTTAGCATTGCTTAGTGCAATTTACCCAAGAGGTGTCCTGTGATAGGGGCAGAGCTGTGCTGGAGGTGGCTCATTCTGGTTTAGTGTGACAGATACTGTAAAACTGCAGGTGGCTCCCAAAAGGCTTCCTTAAACAACCTGGAAAGCTATTTTCTCTCTGCACAGGAGGCGGTCACTGCTCTTTCCTCTGTTTTCACCTGTAGATGCTCACCTGTCATTCCTTCTTGTCCTTCTGGGTCTTTCTGGCTGTCTGCTGGACCACAGGTGATAGTCCTTTGGTGTCACACCAGTAGGGGCATCTGAAGGGAAGGGCTCAGCAGCCCTTCCCACACTTCACTTGAACTTGACTGTGACTGATCACTAGCATGGTTCCTAACCTGGATGTGAAACCAGGCTGAGGGTGGGTGGGTAAGGATGCAAGTGCTTCAAGAGTTATTCCAGCAGCTTTGCTATTGCAGTTGCTGTGCTGTGTATTGAAGGAGGCTATTATCTGCATCAGAAGCTTGAATAAGGACCTTCACAGCTTTTGGAGTCGTGCCTGCAAGCAAAAACATCTTGACAAAATCTGTTGACTTTGTAGATTGCTTTTGACCAGACAGAAAGCCTATGGATTGAATGTGTCTGTATCCTGCCCAGGAGGTGCTGGGAGACTGATTCTAATGCAAAGGAGCTGCTGTGGTTGCTAGAAAAGTTGAAACACTTCTGTGACTCTGCATGTACCAAAAACTTGTAGAGATTTGAACAGCTTTATTGACAGATTATGCTAACAATTCTCCCATTGAGTGAGCATAGTGTTTAATATGACCTGTTTTCTGCAAGATTAAGAAGAATGCACCTTCACTCTTTGTTTTCTTGTTTTCTCTCTCCAGATGAACACAATGATGTACAGAAAAAGACATTTACAAAATGGATAAATGCTCGCTTTTCCAAGGTAATGTTGAGTTGAAAGTACTCCTTTAATTTTACTGTTTGGAACAATATAAGTTAAATATACTTCGCTCTTACTCTTGTACAATATTACTAGTAAATGTAATGAAAACAGATAAAACACTGTAATATTCCCTCTTTTCGTCATGCACATAAACAGTTGATACTATGTGTCTTGTTTAGGAAAAAATGAAAGATTCTATTCTATTAAAATAGTGATCTGCATGATGGCATCTGGGTTTTGGTCCTCCTTATACAGTTAATTTCTACATGCAGTTTTCTCAGTGCATTGTAGCAGATTTTGAACCTTAGTCATTGTGTTTACTCTTGGTGCTGCTGAGTCAGCTTTACTTGTCCAAAATACTCTGTAAACCTCCAGTTGAAGCCACCTGGTGTTACTTGTGTATTGACTCTTAAATTTTGTATAATTGCTTATTTTGATTTTTCCTTGGCACTTATGCTTTACATTTTTTGTCTTAATTCTCTTTATTGACTTGAAACTTACTGAGGATCTTGGTTTTTGTTTTAGGATGAAAAAGGAAGTGATGATTGTTTTGGGATGCTATTTAAAGCCTGCTTTCTGTGCTGGTCTGTTGATAGTGAAAAATTACACTTTGCCCAGGAGCAGGGTTGCTGTGGGTAGCTCCCCTACTTTATAGTTTGAATATGTGAAGGAACGTGGGCTATTATCAGAGAAAACTTTTTTTCTAGGCAGTATGGTGCTTCAGGGGGGCACGATGTCTAGTTTACACCCTTTTAATGAAAAGGAGCATATATGTGAAATCATGAAAGTTAATATAAATACAGAAGGAAGGGGGTGTGTGTAGCTTATTTTTTTTTTACAGCCACCCCAGTGCTATAGCAATGAATGGCTGTCTCTGGAGTGCTGCCCTTCTGAAGTTCTTGGTCAGCAACACTGAGAATTTTTTACCTTCCTTTCTTTCCTGTGCAACAGGACACTGGGCAATGCAAGGCTTGTGGCCTTGGTTAGTTCACTTTGGCCTGGGTTTGTTTTGGTTGAAAGCTGATATCCTGTGCTCTTCATCCAGTGCATTCTTGGCTAGTTTGCTTTTGAAGGGAGGAGTGTGTATGTGTAACCAGTTGTTCTATGCCTTGCTTTTGACTGCTGCCTAGAGAGGAAAGGCCGTCCTGCGGGAGGAAGGTTAGGCAGGCCAGGATCATGTCAGGAGTGAACATGTGATGGTGATACTGAGAATGTGCTATGTGACTTGTTTGTACGTGTTATGGACGTTGTATTGAGATAGGTAAAAAATGTTTCCATTCTTTCAACTTGTACACCCATTAATATATTTTATAAGGTGACTCCTGAATTTCCCTGACACAGGGTATGGTCAGATACTAGTTGGATTTGAAGTAACTCTTAACTTCATGGCCCATTAAACCACATGTAGCTATGAAAGCCACGTTAATGATTAAAAAGACTATTTAAAAGGACATAATGCTGACTACTGCACATCCAATTCAGACTTAAGCATGGCTACTTTGCCATTGCAAGACGCAGATTTATGAAGACTGGCATGTTCAGATTGCAAGTAAGTTGCTGGTGTTGAGTAGAAATCATCTACTGTAAGAATGTCTAGTTGTAACTGTGCTTTGAAAATGTAAAGAGACTTATTTTGGTCTTATTGAAGTTCTTGCACTGACCAAGTCACTTTGGGTGTTTAAAATACCTAGACTGATTCAGTGGTTGAGCAG